GGAACAAAATTAATAAGCTACCAACTAGTTCTTCTCCTCCTGAAGGGCCAACGTGTTCTGATGCATGTCAGATGTCTGCTGTTGAAGCTGCTCTCTCTCCGTTTGGTACGCCTGTCTTTCTCTATCCAGCTCCTGGTGAAGTTCTACCTTCTCCACTTTCTCTGTTTCAGATTTCTCCTTCTCCTTAGCCAGCTGCTCCTGTAACTCTACATTCTCTGTTTCAGATTTCTCCATTAAGTTTTTCACCTCATGTTGAAGTTCTTCCTTCTCCATTTTCTCTGTTTCAGATTTCTCCTTCTCCTTTACCAGCTGCTCCCGTAACTCTACCTTCTCTGTTTCAGATTTCTCCTTCTCCTTTACCAGCCGCTCATGTAACACAACCCGCTCTTGCTCATGGTTTTCCATCAAGCTCTTTACCTCCTGTTGAAGTTGTTCCTTCTCCATTTTCTCTGTTTCAGATTTCTCCTTCTCTTTTACCAGCTGCTCCTCTAGCTCTACCATCTCTGTTTCAGATTTCTCCATCAATCTCTTTACCTCCTGTTGAAGTTCTTCCTTCTCCATTTTCTCTGTTTCATACTTCTCGGTCACCGTATTTAGCTGCTCCTGTAGCTCCACCCTCTCTTGCCCATGTTTCTCCATCAACCTCTTCACCTCATGTTGAAGTTCTTCCTTCTCCATTTTCTCTGTTTCAGATTTCTCCTTCTCCTTTACCAGCTGCTCCTGTAACTCTACCTTCTCTGTTTCAGATTTCTCACTCTCCTTTACCAACCTCTCATGTAACACAACCCTCTCTTGCTCATGGTTTTCCATTAAGCTCTTTACCTCCTGTTGAAGTTGTTCCTTCTCAATTTTCTCAGTTTCAGATTTCTCTTTCTCCTTTGCCAACTCCTCCTGGAACTCCACTCTGTCTGTTTCAGATTTCCCCATCAAGCTCTTCATCTCCTGTTGAAGTTCTTCCTTCTCCATTTTCTCTGTTTCAGACTTCTCCATCGCCTTTGCCAACTGCTTCTGTAACACCTCCTTTTCTGTTTCAGATTTCTCTATTAAGCTCTTTAATTCATGCTGAAGTTCTTCCTTCTCCATTTTCGCTGTTTCAGATTCCTCCTTATCCTTTACCAGCTGCCCTTGTAACACCACCTTCTCTTGCTCATGGTTCTCCATCAAGCTCTTTACCTCCTGTTTAAGTTCTTCCTTTTCCATTTCCTCTGTTTCAGATTTCTTCTTCTCCTTTGCCAGCTGCTCCTGTAGCTCCACCTTCTCTGTTTCAGATTTCTCCATTAAAGTTTTCACCTCATGTTGAAGTTCTTCCTTCTCCATTTTCTCTGTTTCAAATTTCTCCTTCTCCTTTTCCAACTCCTCCTGGAACACCACTTTTTCTGTTTCAGATTTTTCCATCAAACTCTTCATATCCTGTTGAAGTTGTTCATTCTCAATTTTCTCCATTTCAGATTTTTCGTTCACCTTCTCCAACAGCTGATGTAGTTTCACCTTCTCTGCTTCATATATCTCCTTGACCTTCTCCAGTTCCTGCTGAACTTCTTCCTTTGCAATCTTCTCTGTCTCATACTTCTCTATCGCTGCCTGTTCTTTCATGCAGATTTCAGTATTTTCTCCTGCAGAAAGGAAATTTTTATTGTAAAAACCTTGTTTCCATCGTCAAAATAATTATTAGTTACAAGGCCAATTCTAACCTTTTGTTATAAAACATTGCACATATAAATTTACATATAAAATAACACATCGAATAATCACAACTTTATCGGAACGTATCACAATACAGTTTCTTAGAATTATTATAGTCTTAGGTTTTGTTCTTCATGATTTCTGTCAAGAGCCTCAATCTATATATCAATTAAAACTTCATACTTTACGCTTATGCCAGAATTAATTAAAGTAACCAATCATTAAGTATCCACAATTAGTCAATTATGTAAGTGCCATGATAAGCAAACAACTGTTAATATCTTCTTATACTGTTGCCACGCATAGTAGACAAATTTTGTGTCAGTGTGTAAATATGGCTAGGCCCAGAAAATTAGGGAACCCATGCTACACTGTCTACAGGTACTGTGTAATGATAAGACCTTGAAAAACTCCCCTATGATGTTAATTCATCTTCTTTAAGATCAGCTACATTCCTTAAAAATCCAACTTTGAAAGCAGGCCACTGACATCTGGAATGTATCAAGTGTTATCAAACTAATTACCTTGCAGTGAGGTGACATGTTGCTGCAGCTGTTGCAGGGCCTGGTCTCGTTTCTCCTGCAGGGAAATTGTTTGTTGCTTATCACCTTCTAGAAGATTCTTCAGCTCTGCAATGTTGTCCTCAAGCTGCCGGGCTTTGCTCTCCGATTCTGCAAGTGAACACATTCAATGGCATGTTACTTAGCGCTCTGCCATATTCTACAACTAGACAGAGTGCACTCACAGAGAGTGCATACCTCCGCCAGCAACATACGCCATACGCCATACGACTCACAAACACACAAATAACGAACGATATACGCCAGCGTACTGACATATACACGCTGGCTTGCTGGCTTGCCGCTCGTTGCTGCTGCTCGCTCACATGTACATGCTTGCTGGCTCGCTGCGCTGGCTGGCTGGCTGGCTTGCTGCGCTGGCTGGCTGGCTGGCTCGCTGACTCAACGCGCTAATATCGATCGCGCGAACATACGAACGCACGAGAGCGATCACATAACCTCCTCCAACTCCTTTGGGCGGAGGTAATTACTGCCAGGAAGCAATAAGACGTCTGCCTACTAAGGTAAACCTGGCAATCTCCAAGCAAATGGAAAACAAGACTTCCTATTGCCTTACAGTGATACTCCACAATAAAAAAGTAATGCGTTTTACAAAGAACGTACGTGTCACAAAATTCTGTAACCGGAATAACATTACTCAATTGACTTCTTTGCATAATTGTACATGGATTCCCAAGGAGCAATTTTGGCTCAGGGTAGGTGAATAATAAAGGCATGCATGAATTATTTATGATGTTACAGAGTATCACAATAGTAGTGGAAGGAAACGTGCATGTTACTACAAACAAAACAAACAATGGCAACACTGATACTTAAATTTTGTAAGCGCAAACATAAAAAGACCAATTCATCAGTTGCTCTACAAAGAAAGAATAATAATTTGAGCAACAACAATAATATCATTAAAACCATGCCAAGCAGGGTCCTCTATTCAAGGCTTGTTCAGTCTCAATATGGATCAATAACGTGAAAATATGTTCACGTATTAAGGCCAAACAAAAAAATAGGTGTGTTTCCGGCCGACCGACCGTCCCTAGATTATTAGGGCCGACCCTACTTTTTTTTCAAAAAAAAAACAATTTATAAATTTTTTTTTTCAAATTTGAAATCTGACAGACAAAACTTGAGATTTTTTACTACAAACACGTTCTGTACTTGCTTACTAACTTATCCCTACCTATACACCACTTTATAGCATGCATCAGAGGGATATTAGGAACCGAAGAATAACAAAAATAATAAAAAAAAAATAATCCCTACCTACCTACCCTACTTTTGTTTTCGATGCAATAGGAAACACACCTATTTTTTTGTTTGGCCTAATGATTAAAACTCACCATCCCTCTGTCCAGTTGCTTCAATCACCTCCTTCTTCATCGCTGCCAACTCTTCCATGAGTGACAGCTGCCGGCTTTCCAGTTCGCTTCCTGCTCCTCTCAGCTCTTCTACTACTATTCGCAGTGACGCATTCTCTTCGTGGAGTAACGTTTCCTCCTTAGCAGCTTCTATCATCTTCCTCCCGAATTCACTCACGTTCTGCTTTTCGCAGTCGAGTTCCTCCGTCGCTTTCGTTACCAGCGCCTGCTGTTGCTCCAGCAGTTTCTCGTGACTCTCCGACTCGCGTTCCTTATGCTCTAATGCTTTCTTTAAGCTCTCCATCTCGCACTCATGTTCACGCAAGCTCGATAGATGCATCTGCAGGTCTTCTTCCTTCTGCCGCAAGGCATCCTCTGTGAGTTGGAATTTCGTGTGCGAGTCTTCTCCCACTCCGGTAAGTTCCTGCACTGTTGCCTCCAAGGAGGCGTTTTTCTGGTAGAGAGTATCACAGTTTCTCGTGATTTCTTCTAGCTCGGCTCTTACTGTCTCTCCTTCCTGTGACAGTTTTTTGTGTTCCGCTCTTGCTTCTGTGAGCTGGTTTCTAATGATTTCCTCTGCCTGGGTCATTTTTTCCTGCTCTATCGTTGCTTTCTCTAGCTGGTTTTGCATAGCTTCTTGAGCCTCGATAAGCCTCTCCTTCTCTATCGTTGCTGCTTCCAGCTCGTTTCTCATAATTTCTTCTGTCTGGGTTACCTTCTCCTTCTCCACCATTACTTCTTCTAGCTGGTGTCTCACGGTTTCCTCTGCCTTGCTTAGCCTCTCCTGCTCTATCTTCGCTTCCTCTAGCTCGGTTCTCATCATTTCCTCTCGCTGTGCTAATGACTGGAGGTCCGTCTGGGCTTGTTCGTAGTTAGACAGCTGTAATTGGAGATTAGATTTTTCTTCTTCCAACTCAGCAACTCTGTTTGCGACTTCGGTGGCCTCACCCGTAGACATGTCGGCAGCCTAGAAAACAACGGAGGGTTTTTGTATGATCTACCTCTATGTATGTCTACTCTTGTATGAGTTATTGTATACTCACTGCTTTCCCTCCAGTTTTCTACTCTCCCTGTATCTCGTTCTCTTGTTTTCTTTTTCCCCAACTTTCCCATCTCTATATCTCTCTCACTCTCTCGCTCTCCTCTCTCTCCCTCCCCTCTCCCTCTCCCCCCCTCGCTCTCTCTCTGTCTCTCTCTTTATCTATCAATCCCTCGCTACCTATCAGTGTCCCTCATCTATCTTTCATTCTATTAGTCCCATTTCTATGCCATCTTTCTCACCTCATCCCTCATGTTTAAGAGCAACCATGTGCCTGTTTCTAATTCGAGTACAGCATGCTACTGTGCCAACGTATACCTTTTTCTTCCGTTCAAGCTCCTCCTGTAGTTGTTTGATTTTAGCAGCCTGCTGTGCCTTCTGCTTTAAAACCTTCCTGTCATGTTTGCTGCCCTCATCCTTTGCCACGGCAGCTTCCTGAAAACATTGCATCATTCCACCAAAATGTAATAATTAACATTCCCGATTAATGTCAATTGATTAATAACGGAATTATTGATTAATGTCAACAAAATAGAAATCAATAAAATTAAGAGGACCAATCACTTTGATCTCCTTATCACTTTTGGTCTTCCTTTTTTAAAGTCTATGTTTAAAATAGAGATATAGAGTGTGGAAAGTTAACTTTCATTGCTACCAGTGGATTAATCCCCTGCTGTAACATTTACTGTGAAAGTAGCTGCGTGGCCTAGGGTTATGGTATGGAGATAGGCACCACCCTATGTGCCACATAGGCACGGGCAGGGATTTAACTAATAGTGATGGTGTCACAATAAAAATACCCGGCCCGGAGGACGCCGAACCCGGACTAGTATAGCCTTGTAAGAAACAAAATGTTCCCGACTCAAGGAAGCATCATGCCGACCTTGGTCAAGAAAAAAGAAAAAAAGAAATGTTTACAATGGCACCATCAGAGGAGCTAAAACGAATAAAACAGTGCAATGATCTGTCTTTTACGCTGCACCTAATACTGTACTAAGACTTTGCATGTTTTAATTATTCCTGTCTAGAAATTATGCAGGAATACACTAAAAAGAAATACTAAAACTTTTTTCATGGCCAGAAGTACAAATTATACATTATAATTATGTTCAAAATCATTTTTCTTTCCCAGAATCGTTAATGGGACATTTATACCTTCTCTTTTGTTGCAATCTCGTTCTGTAGAAGTTCCAGCTTCTGCTTCCATTCTTCTTCCATGCCAGAAAATGTTTCTTGCAATGCTCTCATCTGCTCCTTACTGAGGTCCAAATGTTCTTGAAGAGACCGCGCTGTATTCTCTTTCTCCGTCATTTCTGCTTGAAGCATCTCAATAACCTATTCCGTGACACAAAAAAGCGCCATTTTAAAATTTCTGCCGTGCACATTGCCATTGCTTGATTCATTGACCCGTTTTATTATTTTATTTACCTGGATTTCACCATTGCAGGCATCGCACATTGCAGTGCAGTTTACCTTTTTATTAACAACATACTGGTTTAGCAACCAACTAGCTTCAAAGACCATGTATTTTGTTCTATTTCTTTAGACCTTCCAAATTTAGGCGATACCATCCCTCTAGGCCCGATAGAATTACCCTTCATTCTAAGAGTCAATTGAAGTCAAAGAGATCCACTATTGTGTAATCTTCCATGTTTTTTTCATATCGTTATTCTTAATGCCTTTTATAGGGTATGGTAGGGTTCGTTAGGGACGAGTTTATGGAAACAAAAGAAGGAGGGCAAACAAGTTTGGAACCACTGCAAATATAGATTACCAGTATTATATTTTTATGTCTAAGTTGGCTTTCAAAGTTCTGCATGGGAAAACGCTCAACTTTTACACCAATATTACAAACACGAAGCACACTTACTTTATTCTTGCCATCTAAGACTGCTTCGCTCTCCTGTAGTTTTCTCTCTGTGTCCCTGAGCATCTCGCCTTGATTGATTCCCTGATCGAGCTGTGCCTGCAGCATTGCATGTTCCCTCTCTTTCTCCTGTATCTTGCTACCCTCAAGTGCAGCCTCTTCCTCAAGTTCACTCAGCCTTGTCCTTAGACGCGAGATTGTATCGGCTTCATCAACGATTGTCTGGTCCCGTTTCTTTGCCTCCTCTTGCATGATCTACAAAGGTTTAGCAATTTAGGTGGTAACTGCACCACCGAGTGACATCTATACTCGATTTCGTTACTGGTAGCAGTATTATTTTACTAGTACTACTACACCATCACCATAATCCTGTATTTTATAGCGCCATTTCATTTGTTGCCAATAAAGTCACCTGGAAGCATTTTTCAATAAAATAGTTGCTTATTTCCATTTTTTAATGTGATAATCCATTCATCCAGTCTAATTCAATCTAATCTAGCAGAAAGAATTAATTTCATTATAACTAATATCATTATTTAAATACGAATAAACGTAAAAATCACGGCTGTCTGAAGTCTTGTGACGATCCATTCATGGCAGGTTTTTAAACGGATACTTTACTCTAGAATTTTATTGCACAAAACTGTACTTACTGCACAATAGATCGTATATACCCATATATACTTGTTACCAGATAACAAATTTAATTCTTACAATTAATTATACATCAACGCTACGAAATTTGATCACCGCCATTACGTTTTTGGAAGGTTAATATCAGTACAATAGAACCCCGATTTAACGTGAATTCAAATATAATGCGATGAGTCGTTTTTTTTGCTCTCGTATAGCCACGTATATATAACCCCGATTTAGTGCGACCCCGCTTTTTTCGCGATGACATTTTATGGACCCCAACTATCGAGTTATAATCGGGCTACACTGTATTACAAATCTCATCGCATCTTTAAATCTCGAAGAGTGCCCTCGTAAGCGACACGGACCTGTACTGCCCTGTCACGACCATAGATGACCTCCTGATTTTCTCTGACCGCCTCCTGGATATCTATGACCGTGCGATCACGCTCGAGAATCTTCTCGTTCAACTCCATTATCATGCGATCTTTGTAAACCATCTGCGCATACATTTCCTTCATCTGCGGCGATTCGGTTTCAACCGGCTCGATAACGGGCGATTCCTAGAGACAGCAATGCACGCGAGACATGCAGGCAAATATTTGCAGCATCACACAAGCAACGTTGAGTGAATAGCGTTACACAAGCAAAGGAGTAGCAGTTGATCTGTAGATAAAAGAAGCTGTACACAGGCACTAGTTCAGGCTGAGCAGCCACTAATCATGCACAAAAGAATGGGATAGATTAAGTATATTATTCATAATATGTATGTATAAAACGGCTCACGTTATAATACATCTTGGTTAGATATTCCAATGATTAAATTCACTACTGTCAAGCCAGAAATGACAACCACTATTTCATACAAATGATTGCAAATCTGCCGCACACTCTAAACATATCAACAACATGCATTGCATAGCATAGTATTTAGCAATAGCAAATTAGGACTATTTAAATTAATAAAATTTAATTAATAGCCATGCCAAATCTTACATGCTTGCTCTATTCCAAGTTAACTCTAATCTGTTGTAAAAGCAAAAAAAACTATATACACAGAGTGAAATTAACAATATCTCTAAGTATGATTGGGGTCTAATCACATTACAACACTACAACATTGTATGCCACAATGCTCTAAGTGATTCTACATGGGCAATATACATTGGTATCTCACCTCATCTACGGTTTTGATTTTAATAATTTCTTGTTCTCTAGCCGACAGCTGGTGGTTTAGTGACTGAAACAAACAACAACTATTAGGAAGACAAAGTTCTGAATATCTGTTATTGTAAACAGAAACTGTCGGGTAAATTTACGAATGAAACTTACTGTTATTTAAATGACTCATCTACCAAATTGAATCAATTTAATTATATCGTGCCGGTCAAGGATTCATACGAAACATTACTTTTATGTTAGGAAGGTTACCCATCATTTGAAAGGTTTGTACATTCCAAATTAATTCTGAATCAAATAATTCAGGTCTAAATCACCTTTCAAATTTCTTATTTAATTTAACTGACAGTTCAATGGTATGTACACCTGTAATATGTCCCACCTGCAACTGCTGCTCTAGCTCAGTAATTCTGTTATCCCTCTGCTCCAGTTGCTTAACACTCTCTGCCAGTTCTTTACTTTTCTCCTCAACCTAAAAAAACAACATTATTTTTCTCATAAAATGCATTTCACATAACTTTCAATAGTACCTGTACTGAAGACTACCTGTTGGGAGACTTCTAAGTTCAGTTATTGAGTTTGCATTATAATATTAGCAGTGTGTATCAATTCTTATTTAGCACTAGAGATCTTATATAGTCTAGGAGATGATTATGTTATTCGTTATAATTATGAGAAAGGCTTGTAAATACCTTTTTCTTAAGAAGCAACGCTTTTCCTCGCTCTCCTTTCTCGGCTCGAGTAGAAGTTGCAACACTATGATCATCTTCAGCAACTGCCACCTCTCTCTGCAATCACAAGTAAGAAAAGCATAAGCCAAGTAATACGGCGCGTACAGTATGTCCAACAAAAAAAGACATGTTAAAAATGAAAAGATGTCTGATATATGCACCAGTTACTAAGACGGTAGAAGGTGAAGAAGGTAGTAAAGAAAGGAAACGAGAGATAATATAACATCAGTACTATCAAAAACATATAATATAAATATATAATATATATAAATATATAATATCAAAAACATTACTTCATCTGCATCTCCAGAAATTTTGGATTTCTTTGTTTCTCCAAGTTCCTTCTCAAGTTTGGCAACCTTAGCCTTGTTCTGCAGCTTGAATTTAGAATGCTTTGCTTTTTCTTCTTTTAGTTCCGATTCATGAACCTTAAAAATATACAGCACTATTCAGCACTATGCTTTAACATATCGCTGGTACCGTAGTCACATCACATACATTCACCATACCCATGTGGTTTTGTGAGACAACTGCAATTTTACAAATTGTTAGAATAATACCTCTCATCTAATTAAACTGCATACATCCAAGATGAGAACGAGTGTGTGCTTAAAGATTTACAGAATTGGTTTTCCCAGATCCAAATGTCAAATTGGGTGAAAGCAGACAGATGAAATTTAACCTCAGGTTGGCAATACTAGGTTAGATCATGTTTTAAATACTTTGTTACTATCATAAATTTTCCTATTCAAACTTAATCAAGTGCTACCAACAGTTATTAATACCACATGTGCTTCCACTAAGGTTTAATCAAGGAATAATATCACCTAGTCTAAGCAATTGAGGAAATGGTACCTTAATGATCTTGTCCTTTTGCGTCACAGTTTCTTCTGTCTGCCTGAGTAGATGCTTCAACTGCTCCACAAGCACTTGCTGCTGTTCCACCTGCTCTTGCATGTCTCTGTACATCTGAGACTGCTTTTCTCCATCTCCGGCCTCACCATCCTTGCCTCCGAACCCCCACATCGCTGCCGTGCACTACCACAACTAGTCTGCAACACGGAAGTATTACTATTAGTAAGTGGTGGTCCTGCTTAGCTTGCTGTGAGAGATAAGGATAATTAAAAGCATTTTTATTAGAAATGTGAATATGTAACTAAACCAGGAATGTTTTAGTGGTATGCATACATGCTTGGTTATGACTTGATTTCAGTAATGGACTATCAAAACAATGTCAAGGTTAATTTGTCTGCATTCCAATAACATTATTAGGCGCAAATCCACTTTAGGCACCTTATGTATCACGAAGTGATGCACAGATTTCTGTGTATCATCAACTGATGCACAGATTTCTGTGTATCATCAACTGATGCACAGCCTTTCCGTATATCAAGGAATGATGCAAAAACCCTAACCCTAACCCTAAGTCATAAAGTATAACCTTACTCCTAAATAAAGCTTTATCTTATCCTTAGGTATCACGAAGTGTGTTAGGGTTAGGGTTGGGGTTAGGATTAGGGTTAGGGTTTTTGCATTATTCCTTGATATACGGAAATTCTGTGCATCAGTTGATGATACACAGAAATCTGTGCATCAGTTGATGATACACAGAAATCTGTGCATCACTTCGTGATACCTAAGGTGCCTAAAGTGGATTTGCACAACATTATTATACTTAATAATAATAATATTGATTGAAAAGCACCTCACAGATTTTCTTTATACTTGATTTATTTAGGTGACAACAACAACAATAGGTGAGATAAATCATATATTTATATAGTATACAACTTAAGAATACTTTATAACCCTTAACTTAACCCAACCCTAATCGAAGTATGTATGGTGGTCCTAAAGTAGGAATGAAGTCTCCAGCATTCTGGCAGATTGAGATTGTGAGATTGGAAAATATCATTTTTAATTGATGAAACCCCACATTACACATATAAAGATACTAACCAGATCAGTTTACCGTTACAATGGGCCGTATATGGTATATACAATATAATATCAGCATGCCAGCACGCATTATCATTATAAATAACTGATGAAACGATGTATAAAACGATAAATTCGTTCGATCAAAACTTTGTTGTAGTGGAGGTTTCCATGTTGATGACGTTACAGTTATGTTCACTTTGCTTTTCCTCGTATAGAGGGCAGAGTCGTACCGGCGGGACACAAATATATGAGAAAAATCATGAAAGCGGATAAATCAAGCACGTTTTCGATCAAATGTGACAAAGCCGTGCATGTTGTGGAATTTTGTCCCTACGAGTGGGCTGATAACTTATTTGCATATGGAACTGTGTCGAAACTAACAATTGGTAAATTACAGGTGCGATACTCCTGAATTCTGAAATTTGTCACTGTGTAGTGTGTTAGCCCAACCACTGCAAGTTGAACCACCGAACTAGCCACAAGTTCCCTTCTCGCTTAACACTACGTTGGCTACCTGCGGCAGTTACTGAACGCGGGCTATAGCCTATAGTACTAGAGCTATACGTTGGCGAGAGAGTACGACGTGTAACAGTCGGAGAGCCTGGTCGGTATACCACTGAACCAAACCTAGGCTCTACTCTAGACTAGTACTATTCTCTATTCAGTCTATTGACTATGTCTATTGTATATATAATATAGGCTATATACTAATAAGTAATGTAGCACAGGCACTTGGAACGTCACAATAAAAAAAAGGTCAAAAAACACTAAATGTATTTACTACCAGTCTTAACGTTTCTCTACTCTATTATTTCGCCTATAATCGCCTGTAAATGCCGGTCAAATGCTCATCTGCAACACACAAGTACACCGCACGCTAGCTGCTGCACACTGACACATAAATATATCAGAGTGGCTTGGCTATATGCCCGGCAGCCGGCATATATCTGACGGCTGCCGGGCACGGTCTTCGATTTTCTAAATGCCCAGCAGTTTTTAATTTTCAGCGTTATCTCAAGTAAACAAGGGTTAGGGTTAGGAACTGCCGGGCATTTAGGAAATCGAAGACCGTGCCCGGCTGCCGGGCATATAGCCACAGCGTAAATATATAGCAGGTAGGAAAGCGTGCTGCCAAAATTTGCTCGACGCTCGCTTGATTTCATACGAATACAACACAAATATTCAACCATTCTACTCCATCTTTGTTTCTATTTGAAGAACAGTGTTCACTTGTTATAAAAATATACTGTCTGTGTTCGTAACCGAGCTTTGTCACGCGAAATCACACAAAGCCTGACGCAATTCTCGCGTTCGCTCCTGTTGCTCAGTTTATGTAAATGGCTGTCGAAATCAGGAAACACCCACTGGCGCTCTTCGTGACCTCATTTTTGCGCTGCAACACTGCAGCGTTTTTGTAACGCTCCACTGGCGGCTTTGACGGCGCTCTTACGCGTGTTGGAAAGCAGCGTGGTAGTTTCCCAAAATGCAGTGCGCCGCCTATAGTCCTGTACTTGCAGCCATTTACATAAACTGAGCAACGGGAGCGAACGCGAGAATTTCGTTAGGCTTTGTGTGATTTCGCGTGTCACAGCTCGGTTACGAACACAGACAGTATGGGTTTATAACAAGTAAACACTGTTCTTCAAATAGAAACAAAGATGGAGTAGAATGGTTGAATATTTGTGTTGTATTCGTATGAAATCAAGCGAGCGGCGAGCGAATTTTGGCAGCACGCTTTCCTACCTGCTATATATATTTATGTGTCAGTGTGCAGCAGCTAGCGTGCGGTGTACTTGGGTGTTGCAGATGAACATTTGACCGGCATTTACAGGTGATTAGGGGCGAAATAGAGTAGAGAAACATTAAGACTGGTAGTAAATACATTTCGTGTTTATTTACCTTTTTTTTTTATTGAGACGTTCCAAGTCCCTGTGCTATATAGGCCCTGTTTGCCTCAGGCCTGTGGCAAACAAGGGCTATAGTACTAGAGCCAGACCAGACCATGGTCCACCTATTCGTCGGCACGCCACACACCTTCGCCGTTTAAATAACGTTTTATTAAACATCTTTATTAAAATTATCGTAAATAAACACGGATTGTATTTAATAATTTACTACCGAAGCCTTGATGTTTAAATTAAGGCTGACTTTCTGTGAGTTTGTGCAGTGACTGAGTGAGCGTGTGTGTCACACTGTGTGGTTAAATTATAATTCGTGTTGCGGAGGAGCATTTTACTAGCGTTTACATGTCATCGAATTATTAGGCGATAGGGAGTATACAAACACAGGCCCTGGTAGTAAATAAATACAAATCGTGTTTATTCACCATCATATTATTATTGAAGCAGCCCAATTAAGTGCCTGTGTCATGACTGTTTTCCATTGTAATTCGTAGGAGTCTAGGACTTGCCTTATTGCAGTGTAGTGTACTAGTGAGTAGCAATTATCCATTGACTCGTGGCTATCTCTGTCAGTCCCATTGCTTCTGTACCTCTTACTGGCTGCACAGTAAATTAATGTGATGGCACAGCTAGGACTATGTCTACAAGTATATTGATCTATTAATGCAGGAAGATCAGCAAAGCATTGGTTTTGATTTTGAGGAACTGCGAAGTTTTTCACTCAACGGAGCAAGACCAGTAGCCCTTGGTTGGAGCCCAGAAACATCACTAACCCTTCTTCCCAGGGTTATAAAGTTAGTATCTAAGTAACTATGTAGAGATCTTGTCTTGTTTTTCTGAGATAAATTGTCAGTCACACATTGGAATTATAGTTCTGGCATTCTCAATGGCCCTCTTACTTTTCCCTCTGACCTTTGAGAATGATTACTCAAAGCTCTGAGAAGAACATTTTACCATTTCTAATAGGAATAATTGGTTAGGGGATTATAGTTTGTACCTATTCTGAGGTTTCGTAAAATGCCATAAAATTGTCTACACATTCAATTGATTGATGGCACTATTGATTGAAAAACCTAAGTGCAATGCTAACAGCATGTACATATATGGTCAAGAGCGAATAATACCTCTTTAGGTATTATTAGCTCTTGATATGGTGGCATTCCATAGCAATAAATTGTGATAAAAATGTTCTGAATCTCAACACACTTATCTGTAATGCACACTGTACTTGTAGGTTTGCAACAGCCAATCACGATTTCAGTGTGAGAATTTACTCTTCGCACCTCACAGATGATGACAAAGTGCAGGTACGAACATCTTATTTTGTCGCGAATTATCTCGAGATCTTGCTTTTTATCACATTTACGCTCTGCCATTATCTCAATATAGTTGGTATCCAGGATGGTGAAGCCCATACCCTATCATAAATAAAGTTAATCATCTGTAGTTGTTGCGGATCTACTTTTTAATCAAACCTGCCACAAGCTTCTCAACATTGACTACTTGAAAACATTACAACACTACAACATTACAACAACATTACAACATTGACTTGTTCCCTCTCATCACTCATTTTGCATGCTCATCTCCATCATCCGCTAACGTTCGCCACGCACTATAGGTTGCTGAAGGACATCAGGACTACGTCAACGATGTTGTCTTTGAACCGCATAGCGGTGAACGGCTGGCTTCCGTAGGCGACGACCGAACATGTATCGTATGGGACCCAGACGGCAACCAGTTGCAGCGTATTCGTCTTTGCGGCGAAGGAGTGACTGTCAGGTGGCATCCCCAGCAAGCCGAGCAGGTGAGCTCTGCTATGGTCTCTGTGCTCAGTGATGGTGGTGGTTGTTCGTCTTTAGACAGATTTCCGTCTTGAGAAAAATTGTGCATTTTTTTTTAGAATTAAAAACAATTTCAATTAATTTTTTGTTCCAATTTCAAGAAAGTGAGCTCGCTGTGCTCAGTGATGGCGATGCAATGATGCTGTGGTTGTGGGTAGTGGATCAGTAGAAGGGCCCTGTGCAAATACTCACTTGTGGTTCCAATACTCAGGAGCCGTGAGTTTTATCAGTAGCAGCCTAAAAAATACTTTTTTTATTACGAGAGCTCTTTTTTGATTTTGTATGAAAAAAAGAGCTCTCGTAATTTTGTTTACGGGAGCTATTTTGAACTTGGCCAGAGCTACTTTTTCATAGCATGATTTTGTTAAAATTTTCATAATTTTGATGCACTGACTCTAATAATGTCTCAGAAGCCAGAAATTGTGTCTAATTATCGTAAAGGTGTTTCCCAAACAAAAGTCAAGATTATGCTTTGGCGAAATCGACGAGGTCACAAATTATTCCTAATGGTGACAAAATCACGGAGGCCGGGTTTACATGTTGCTGTATGCATGTTGTGTACAAAGTATGATTGCATGCACTGATTGTCTCATTCGCATTGTTTTTTAATTCAAATCTCGTTATGTCTAGCCATTCAATAAAAAAAACTTGCTTGCCCGAACAGGGAAGTGCAATTTCAAGCT